AAAAAAAAAAAGACAAATTCGGATAAATATTTACGTTTAAGATTGATAGATTTTTGAGCCCTCAAAAATGATGATTGATAGGGAAGAGTGGGGTAAAACGACTCCTTTTGATTTTTTTCAAAAATGTTAACAGCTCATTCAATTTCAAATAAAATGAAATAATTTTTTTTCGATGGAAACTACACTTCTTCTCCTTTAGAATAAGCCTAGACTGATCTCAATTAAAGAATTTGTTTTTGAGTTATGAGTATCACAAAAAAGTCAAAAGGAGTCGTTTTACCCCACTCTCCCTTATGTAAATTCGGTGAAAATGTCCGAAACTTCTGAGGAAATCAACTGGAAACCTATCCGAAAATCGGGTGACTCTTAGGATCTTCAAATCAACTTGAAGACAGAAAAGGGGTGACAGGAGAGATTATTTTTAATGAAAAATGTGCACAATTGATTTTTCACGTGATTAATGAACATTTTGATATAAATTTCATGACCCCAGGGGAGCGATTTTGCTCGTTTTATGTCGACATAAAATCGTAAATTTCAACCGATGACAGTCCTGAATTCGGAATACTCAACTAGGACTGGTTGAAATTTATGATTTTAGGTCGACATAAAACGAGCAAAATTTCTCCCCAGGCTTCGATTTTTTCGCTAAACAAACAAAAATACTGTTGAAACCTAGGTTCAGTTAAATATTGAACTGGTTTTTCTTTTCCGAGTTTTCGACGATTGTCATTGGAATTAAATGTTTTTTCATCACGCTGTGACGAAAAGTGAACTTTTCGGCACGCTCCGCGTGCCTAAAAGTCCGATTTCCGCCACATTGTGATGAAAAATATTGTTCGTAACTCGTAAAATCTGTCTCTTATACACATCTAGATGNAACGAGTGCAAAAAAGTGTTTTATGGCGAGTGGGTGTTTTATATCACTCGCCTTCGGCTCGTGATATAATCCCACGAGCTAAAAAACATTTTTTCACGAGTTACGAACTATTATATTTCGTAACGAGTGCAAAATAGTATATTTCAGCACGTGTGGGGCAATTTCGTCTTTAACGTGTGTAGGGTTTACAGCATGAGCCGAAGGCGAGTGATGTAACCCACACACGTTAAGGACGAAATTTCCCAACAAGTACTGAACAAAATTTTATGTCACGAAGCCTGAAACCAGCTGAATTAGACACGAGTCGCGAAGCGTCGAGTGTGTAATCCAGGCGGTTTCAGGCATGAGTGGCATAAAAGTGTTTTTTGGCGAGTGGGAAGTTTATATCGCGAGCCGAAGGCGAGTGATATAATCCCACGAGCTAAAAAACATTTTTTCACGAGTTACGAACAATATTTTTCATCACAATGTGGCGGAAATTGGACTTTTAGGTACGCGGAGCGTGCCGAAAAGTTCACTTTTCGTCACAGCGTGATGAAAAAATGTTTTTTGCACTCGTTACGAAATATACTATTATACAGCTAAAAAAAATAGAATTATTGGGTAGCCGTGCCCATTTGCTTTTTGCCATAAAGAGTAAATGAATTAAGCCAGGAATATCGATTCGTGATAATGATTGTCACTAGTTCTTAATAGTATATTGTGTTACAAGTGCGTAAAGAACCACTTTTTCACACGCACGCGTAACACATCTTATTTTTTGTAATACCTGCCGAGTTCACTGTTCGGAACCGTAGTGGGGGTGAAGTGGTTGCTTTTGTGCACGGTGCTTCGCTTTACGCACTCGAAATTCACTTTACGCACGACCTCTGAACTTTGCGCACATTGTGCGTAAAACAACTACCTTACACATACTAAACGGTTTTGAAAAGTGAACTTTTGAGGCAGGTATTAGGGGAGGTTGGAGTAAAATGGACACTTTTGACTTTTTTAAAAATATTAGTGACGGGTTGAAATGTTGATGAAATTTAATAATTTTTTGTTCAATACAAAGAACAATTCTTTCCCTTTATGATGAGCCTAAACTGAGCTCTATTATTACATTTGTTTTTGAATTATGAATAATTTTAAAAAAGTCTCAGGTGTCCATTTTACCCTACTCTCCCCTACAAAAAAATCACAGGGACTTTTATTTATTATGCTGATGAGTTTACTACTATATAACCTCGCTTACACGAGGTAATGTGGGGAAGGGGTACCTCGGATAAACGAAAATTCGGATAATAGGGAAGAAACAAAAAAATCGGAAATTTTAATAATTTTTTATGTATTTGAAATGGTAGAATGAAATTTAATGACGATTACGACTTTTTTCCTTTCTTGCAACACGACAATGTTCGTTTGTTGATTGTCGAAGGTCAACTGTTAATTTTTGGCTCGCAACTGAAGAGCGTACAAAACGTGTTGTAACAAGTTTATGCGGCTCCATCCGTTTATCCGAGTTTTCGCGTATTATCCGAGCAAGTCCGTTGCCTCGGATAACGCGGAAGCTCGGTTGATGGAAGGCCGGATATACGGGGTTGTAATGTAATCCTTGAATAAAAAATCTATTCGGGGTATTGTGTCATTAGATTTTTTATAAATGATGATAACATACATTAAAGATATTACGATAACACTAGATTATATTATATTATATTCTATACTGTACTATATTGTAATACATTATTCATATAATATCGTATACTCAATGTATGTTATTATTGTTATATCGGTTTATTATTTAATTTTTTTCATGTACATTATATTTTATAACACATACAGTCCTCTATTATATATTGTATATTATACATAGTATTTATAATACTAGATCTGTGTATTGATAAGCGGAATAAAGGCTTAAAAAATCTTTACACTGGATTTGTTAAAAGTGAATAATTTTTTGTTGAAAAAAACAAGGTCCTTATTTGAATGCCAAGAAAATAACAAAATGATTTGACCTCAAAAAATCGTCAGAGTAATATTTATGAATTCATTCAGAAGTCTTCAATTAATACTGCTTCTGCAGTTCGAAATGACAATTGGATTTTTTGAAATGTAATGAATCAAGCGAATAAGCCAAATGAAGATCGCGCGCTGAAACACTTTCAAAGTAACGAACAGACACATGAACGTATATACAGCCGCGGTGCTAGCGATTGCTTGATATTATACATCAGTAGTATACCTATATCGCAGCAAATGTATAAAGATCCCACCTAACCTCATTCTATTTTTTTATTTCCAAACGGAAATGTCATACTTTTGTTGTAAAAATAATAATTAGATAGATGCCGTAACCGTATAAATAGGCCACCTAGATTAGTCAATGATCTTATACTTCTAATCCACTTACCAAGTTTTTCTGAAATGTTTACAAACGATTATATACTCATTCGTGTTTTCCCATCCCTACTGCAATTGAACATAAATGAAATATAGAAGACTGCACTAATCGTCTTCACAGGTGTCTATGTGAAGCAACTGCTGAACATTCAGGAATCAATGTCAGTAAATAAATTGAAATGAGTAGAACGCTTTCTCTTTCGAACTCCACGTTCATCATTCTAATGACTTGTATATTTACAGATTTGTATACTACTTTACGATGACAGATTGACACAATTGCCATAAATTTTTACAATATTGTAGCTTTTTTTACTCATGAGAAAAATACGCAGAAATGGCGAATCCGGGTGGCTTCCTTGCCCATCTTGTTAAACTTGTAACTACAATAATATGCATGGGATATCTCGATGAGAACTCTTCTGGCCTTACTCACCGAGCTTTTCAAATTAATTTGGTCCATTCAATTCTGGGGATGTTCAGATTTGGTAAGAGATTCTATGGACACTCCATTTTTATTTTCCATTGTTTTCTCTCTTCACCACGCACGAAAAAATTTAATAGAAAAATATAGCGAATTCGTTACAAAATTCTATTGGATTTCTATTAGTTTTTGGCTGATTCTGAAATGATTCTGAAATGTTTCAATAGAAAAAGGCAATAAAATTTGATTTTTCTGTATAATTTATTCTCCAGATATTTTCTATAGAATTTCCTAGGCTCAAATTTTTCAAGTTTTTTTCATGCTTTTTTTTCAAGAAAATCAAACAAAAAAACTTGGAAAATTTGAGCCAAGGAAATTCTATAGAAAATAGCTCAATAGAATAAATGGTGTAGAAAAATAGAAATATATTGATTTTTTTTATAGAATATTTTCTATTGGACGTTTCAATTGGATCGGCCAAAAACTAATAGAAATTTCAATAGAAATACAATAAAATTGTCTAGTGGATTCGTTGTTTTTCTATTAAATTTTTTCATCCCTGACATAATTTCATAATCATAAACCCGTTCTTCCTTCACGGAGAAAAAAATTATTTTTGCCAAATATCCATTTACTTGAGAGAAATATTTATTTTTTCAATACCGTATTTCTCCTTGAATTTTGAATTTCTTCTCGTTGAAGTATTGATATCCCTCTAATGCTTGAAGAAAAAAAGTGATTCAAAGGGAAAAGAAGGGAAAGGGAAAAATTCATTTAAAAAATTTCCAAGAATACATAGAGAGATTTTATATTACCGGAATGAGATTTCGAATAACTTTTGTTATGTGTGTTTGTTTTGATTATAAAAAACACTTTTCATTCATCTTCAACATAATTCCTCTTCATTCAGTGTTGTAACATGTGAATTAAGGAAAACAAATATATATAAAATAAAAATTAAAATGGATAAAATTAAATTAATCTAATTGTGAAGACGGCAATGGAAAGAAAATCTTATATAAAAAGGAGATGTTACACTTTTATTCCTGAATGTTCTGAAAGAGAAATCGCATGCATGATGATCATGATACTGATTTGATTGATGATATTGGTAATGTTGGTGTAGATCTACGGAGAGATGTTTTCAATCACGAACAATTATATGTAGCTTTTTCGAGAATTCGATCATGAGATCCATTGAAAGTTTTCACAAGACAACAACGAAAAAACGCTAAAGTAAAAAATTGTCTACAAAGAGTTATATCATTGAGCAACTGGTATATATATTTATATATCTGTATAAAAGGAACCGACTTCATCGTATTTAGTATCCGAGATATTTATGGTTTTCCATCGATAACGCCTGTACAAATTGACATTGAATTATTTTCTGATCTTCGATACTAACATCACTTCCAACAGAACATGTGTTCATGTTCAATTGAAGTTTTCATGGATTTCGATATCTCCGACTGATTCTCGATTGAAATTTCCATCCCTTTTCAATAAAAAAAATTCACGCATTTTCAAAAGAAGTTTTCGTCATGTCCCACGAATTTCTCCTTAGTAATACTGTAGAAATTTATATGCGTGATGAATCATATAAAATCAATCAGTGATAGGTGCGCGGAGCGCGCCTTCGATCTCGTAAAATAGAATAGAATAGTATAAACTCTTTTCAATAATTTGTTTTTGAATAATTCTCAATTATTTTCCAGGAAGTACTGGAGGCCTAATGGGTAAACGTAGCTTTCGCGAGTTTTATGAGCGCACATCCAATATTTCAGAAGTCATCCCCTTCGGCATCTTCGCATCAGAAATATCACGGCGCTGTGAAATTGATGACATTCTCCGGCAATCTCTTCTGCTTGTCCTCACACTTTTGCCAATTGTCCATGAAATTGTTCCAAAAAAGGAGCGAACAAAAATGCGTAAACTCATTAATCATTCGATCAATCTACAATTGATGATCATCACAATTGCCTGCCTACAGAGAAGCAACTGGTGTGTTATAAATCTTGTAATATCGTATATATTTAATCGATATTATGCGGAAAACTTTTGCGACTGGTTCGATGTGCCATACGATGTCCTTATACAATACAGCCTGAGCTTTGTTGAAATTTTTTCACTGACAACACTCAATGAATTGTAATATACTTGAAGAACAATTGACTGTATCTTCCGGCCTGAGAGCTCAAATATACAATCCACATTTTTTCAAATCAATTTCTTTATTTTTCCATATCTTACTCTATGTAATTTGAGGAGACCCTTACGATCTGTCCCATTACTTTTCGTCCAATTCCTATTTATCTAAAGCAAATTGGTCCAATAATATAATTCATTCAATAAGAAAATAAATCCAAAATATAATTCGCCCGATAATACATGAGTCCAACGGCCCAATTTGGGGAAACAGTCGACTTTATAATAATTGAAAAAAAAAAAAAAAATGTCTCATCAAAATTCTAATCATCATAAATCAAAAATTGATAAACGGTTAAAAATTGCTGATTGAGAATTGCTAGTGTTGATAATTTTCAATACCATGATTGTTAAATTAAAAAAAAAAAGTACAATTGATCTACATATTGAAGACTTGTCAGCCATATAATTTTTTTTGTACTTTTGATAACCCAATTTTTCTATAAAACAGACGTAATTGAAATAAAAGATTAATTACACCCCCATTTGTTCATGTGATTTCTAAAATTTAAAATTCTTTCCGGAAATACGTGATTTCAGGAAACTTTGGACGATTCAATTTTAGACCAATACTACCGTAAGACGAATTCGTTTTGGATAAAAAAAATTATTGGCCAAATTTATTTCGGATTAATACTACTATTGAACTTAGAATTTTTGGACTTGGAATCCGCGTTGGGCATCTGTCGATAACCGCAGTTTTTTACATGACATTGTAAAAAAAACCGTTATTTACGTAATAAATGGAAAGAATGTAAAAAATCAGCCGGCGTTACAATTGCTTGCAATTTTCGGTTACTAGAATGTTTGATTTTATTCCGACTGACGAAGACGCAGTATTGTACACATAAATATAATAAAAAATAGTATATTATGGCCCGAGGTCGAATAAAACGCGAATTTTTACTTTACTTTGTTCGGTTAGAACGCGGTTCTCGGTACTCGGGGCATGAAATATTATTTGATGTCCCTAGGACCGTAAAATCGCGATTCTAACATTGATTCCCTCAGTTAAATCGCGGTTTCCGGGCCCAGACACATAAAATATTGTATGTCACACGACGATAATAGTATTTCTCGCTTCGCTCGGTTTGATCGCGGTTTACGGGCCTTCTGACGAAAAATTGCATTCATCACACGGTCCAAAAGTATTTTCTGACGAATGTGATTATAGGCCTCGCCTTCGGCTCGGTCTACAAAGCCACATTCGTCAGAAAATACTTTGTGGACCTTGTGATGAAAATAACTATTTCCGGCCTGTTGCGATGGGGTTTTTTACTCGTGTGGCGTTGGCCTCCGAGCCGTAGGCAAGGACTGGCCAACCACACGAGTAAAAAAACCCCATCGCAACAGCCCAGGAACAATATTTTTCTGTAGTGATTTTCAAGTTTTCGAGTTTGGGAAGTATGTAATACCAATTCCCAGACGAGAAATCGTGAGAAGCAGTACAGAAAAGT